GGGGCAACCTGGCATAGAGAAAAACTCACAAGATATTCTTTGCTGAGGGGTCCTCTGTGAAAGGGGCAAGCCTAGAGATGAAACCAGAACAAAGATACTAAAGGGACTGTGTCTTTTTAAATGTGTGGTCACAAGAGCCTGTTGAAAACCCTGCTGAATTGTGTCCTGCTCTGTGAACTCGCTGGGAATGCCTGGCCAGCACTGGTTTTGTTCAGCCAAACACCACTGTCATCTCATGCTACTGGCACTGCAGTCACGACAAAAGGTTCCTGTTGCTGCTTATTGCCTGGCAGGTGCACCCACCCAGGAGTTAATGTGCATTATCTCTCCTTGCCCTGCGGACAGCAGAGCTCTCCTGGACGCCCTGGCTCTGCCTGTGCCTCCCCGGCCTCGCAGAAGTTCAGCTGGAGATGAACTGCTGCTTTCAGGGTCACAGCTGTGCCAGGAAGCCCAGATCAGCCCAGGAATCTCCTTGTGCTAAACACCATAGCACAAGCATGGCAGGAGCCAGCCAGCCTCTGGCCCAAAGCTAGAGAGTCTGGAGCAGCAGAGGAGGCTCAAGCAGAGGGGAACGTGAGGGCACTTCCCAGCGAGCTGGTCCAGAGACAAAGCTCAGGACCAAATATTCTTCAGTCCAGTAATGGAATTTAATGTCAGGCCATACAAATTGTGAAAAGATTTTGCCACTCTGCAAATGACCAAACTAATTATGAGATACAGAACTACTCCCCCTGTGCTTAGGACAGGTTTCAGAAACAAAGCAAGTCTCAGTCTCCTTCTCCTGCCCCCCAGCCAGAATGGATCTCACAAGCACACTTTCCTACAGTGTCTAGTTTTGTTTGTCTTCTTGGCCATTCTTTACAAGTCTCTTCCCAGCCTCTGGAGCACACTAAACAGTCACGATACCACCACAAAAATCAGATTGCTGCTACGTCCAGCGCTCTGCTATCAGCAGTTGAGACACTTTCTGTGACGGTTCAAAGGTGACACCACGAACTGTCACCCATGTTAAAGAGGCTGCAAAGTCAGGACAGAGACAGCAGTGAAATGCTTGCAGATACCAAGGGAGAGCAGTAGTACAAATCAGTGCAGATATCAGTGTATTCAAGCACCAGCACAACCCCCCTGCAAACCTCTATGGTGACATTTTACAGCTGTATTGGCTCCAAGTGTTTTCCAGAAGAACAGCACCATTCTGCTTCATAGGCAAGAATATATATCTTAGGTTATTACCAAATGCAATATGGAAGATTTCAGCCTATCAAAACTCCTTTTAGCTGTATTATGAAATTTTGAAACCTTACTGAAGTTTACCAGACGACAAAGTGGGATTACTGTTATAAGGAAATGAATGCACAGCTGAAGGGGAAAGTGTTTTATAGCATCTGATAACACCTTAGGCACTGATAGGACATTTTTGTACAGGTTGAAAATGCATTCTTCATTTTTCACTGACAGCTGGTTAAAGGAGGAATGCAGTGAAAAGTCTATAAAAGCTTTGAAAAACCCCCAAAGCTGGATAATTCTGGACTTCTGTTTTTCTCCCACCCATGCTGGTAGGTGAAGTTGTTAACAGTATCCTTTGGACTCATTGCCACCTTGGCCTGTAACTACACCAGCAACAGAGAGTCTACAGCACTTCCTGAACCATCTTTTTTTTAATACAATAGGGTAGAAATACTGGAAGTGATTTTTTCCACAATTCTCTTTCACCAGCTTGCATGAAGTCTGTGTGCTGCCACTCCAGCAGTCTGGCTTTCATTCCTCCTCTTCCCATGGAAGATCCTTTCTGTAGGTCAGCAGAGCTGGTTTTGGAGTCTGTTCTTACTTCTTTTAGCTCCTCCATGTCTGATACTGCTATCATTGATTCCCATTTGATATGTTTTCTTTCCTTGTCTCTGCCTTCTCCTGCCTTTGGAACTGCTCCTCCTACACCTCCTTTGGGAGACTGTGTTCTTTCTTTTCCTAATGTTCCCCGAGGTAGCTCTTTCCTCTGTTTCTATTTTCTTCTTTTTCCTTCCTCACAGCCTGCTCCCTCGCACTCATCTCCTCCTACGACCCCACCTGCTCCCTCTCCATCAACAAAGCACAGACCAGCCTGACCAGCCACTGTCCATCCCATCTCATGTATTTCTCAGCTTCATTAACATGCCCTTGGATGTCTCAGTCTCAGGTTAAAGGGATAATGCCTAAAGCTGGTGACTTGACCCTCTTCAGCCCACAACCCTCTGTCAGGGTTGCAGCCCTCACCTTCCTTCTGTAACTTCATCTCTAACAGCCTCTCCCACTCTTTAAACCCCTCCCAAAAGAACTGTACCTTTTCACTTTTTTATTGTTACACTTCTGAGAGCATCTTCTTGCTTTCCACTCACACAAACACAGGTTAGATGCAGGTCCTTCTCAAGGCATCATCTCTCTCCTGGTCTGTGAAAGCTCAGCAAAACACTGTGTTACTAAGTAAGGTCTTCCTGCACGAGAGTCTTCACTGGCCTGTCCTTTCTCCCCCTCTTGTCCCAGTGTTCCCTTCTTTCTTTGAATTCCTTCACTGGCTCGAGTCAAGGTTTATTACACTCAGCTCTTTCAGCAATACTGGTAACTATTTTACTGCTTTTTTCCATATACTCTTACGAATTTCATCTCTCTCTGAGAGATGAATATCCTGTAGAGGTTTTCTATCTTTTCTCTTGTAGAGGAAATCAGTCTTGTAGAAGAAGATACCTGGTGATCTAACTTGCATTAGCAGATAAAATAGCTTAGATACTCTGATCATTTCTCCTGAAATATTACAGCTGAACAAAATATGCTTTACCCATGCATCTATGATTTACTAACAGAACAAATGTATTCTCTCCCATAAAGGCAGCAAAAAGCCATTAGAAAACAGGCAGAAAAAAAAATATTAAAAAATAGGCTACAGGGATTCTAGAGGCACATGTGGTCATCCAGCAGGATGGGCCAGGTGTGCTCTCCCACAAGTGTATGAAATGCTGATTGCAACAAGTTGGAACATTGCAACTGCAGAGATTCCTGTAAACCTGTCTGGTGCTGGGCTGGTTGGGCATTGGCTCTGCTGAGTTCCTCTGTTACCTCCCCACAGCCCCCATGTTCCTGCAACTTAGTGGGATAACCAATAAAGCTTTCTGATATCATCTATGCCCTTTGTGTTCTTCCACCCTTACACAAACCCTTGCCTTTCTTTACAAGAGGGACTCACTTTGTGAACTCCCATTGACTAGGATCCCATCTTATTTATTTGTCTTGAAAACTTCCCAGCACTTTTTATGGGAACACTTAACATTCTGATTATTAATAACAAGAAAAATGGCATGATGATGAGAGCAGCAGAACTGCTGCTGGCAGAATTATTTGCAATCCTAATTTTACACATACAATGTGCTGTCCTGAACCTCTGCCCCTCCAGGTAATATCAGCTGGGGGTTTGTTTTGTTTTTCCTTTTCCAATTCTGCTGCAGGCAGTTTTCTTTGCAGTTTCCATCCATTAATCTCAAAGTACTTTTACATAGAGGAATTAATTAAGACTCTTGCACACAAGAATTAATTAAGACAGTAATAGGCATGTTTTATCATCTCCACGTTGCACATGGGGGAACTGAGGTGAAGAGAGAGTTGCCCAGTTCTTTTGCAGAGCTGGGAATGTACTTGGGCATGTATCTTATCCTCTCAACTTGGTGTGTAAGAATATCCTTTCTCTCCTTGTGTTGTGAGGCAAATATCCAGTTTACCAAGTAAAATACCATTGACACACAGTCCTGTACTTCAAAATGGAAATGCTTCCCTCAGGCGAATACCTTGGCCAGTTGACTTTCCAAACACATCCTTCTTTCTTATTTCAGACAGAAAAAAGCATACAGCACGAAAAGCAAACTACTGGAACTCCTGTGGGATCTGATAACATTTATACTCTGCTAAAGAATTGCCCCAGTACCTGAAATCTGTAATCTTATCATCCTGCTTTAACAGACTCTCCCTTTCTCAGCACTCACATTTACTTCTGTTTGATAAAGAAAGAAATATAAACCTAATGACTTGGGATTTTTATCTACAGCTCATAAAACCTTTGCAGAGCTGATGCTGGGCTATCCTGCTTCTGAAATGCACCAGTGCCACCTTCAGACCACAGTGAAAAGGGCTCCTTCCCAAACCTGTATGTCTGTCTGGCAGCAGCAGTGGGTTTGCTTTTCCTGCAGACACGTCCTGCTGGAAAGCCCAGCAGCACATGTACAAACCTGAGCAGAGCCTGCACAGCCCCATCCTGAAGTTCACGGGGAACGGTGGGCCTTGGGAACACCCCCCAAAGGGCCCTGCTGTGAGAGGAACCCCCAGAGAGCAGGACCCCGAGCTGGGTCACAGCCCCTCCTGCTCTGCCAGGGCTGGGCACGACCTGGGCACAGGGGTACACTCCTGCCACAGCCCCTCTGCCAGGCTGAGACTGGAAATCACACGTGCCCCTTCCATTCTGAAGGTTCTTCTAAACCAAAGGATTTGACAGTTACCCTCAACAGAAGTGTTTATTTAAAACTGAACCAGCCTGTCATTAAATATTAAAGCAGGTAACAATTTCAGTGAATCAGTCCTGCTTTAAAAGTTTGATTAATATCCAAAAATTGGTGCAATGCTGTTTCAACAATAAAGAACAGTTAATTAAATTTACAGTCTCTTTGCTGACACACTACATATTTTATATTTGGTTTGATTATAATGGGCAAACCTCATCATTTTAAAACTAAGCAATCTGCATTCGTAATTACAGTCAGTTCTGCAAAAAGTTAAAATACTTCTCAAATTAAAGTTTAGGCCTCTGGTATTTTGATTAAAAATTTATCTGTGATATAAGTTCAAATTACACATACTGGACTGGAGAATATTGTATCAATATAGGCTTGAAAATCAAGGTGGGGATTAATTACTTGAGTTAATTTTTTGACCTTGCCCTACAGTATTGTTGGGGGAAGAAAGTAAGCAGAAAACACTCTACTCACCCACTGTCATACCATCCATGTAACGCTTGATGATGTCAAAGGAATCTCTTAAATTTCCCTCTGTAATGTCAAATATGATATCTGCCTGGTTGGCCGGATACGTGGGTGTGACAGCACGAAGGAAAATGATCTCTGCAAATAAACAGTATCACAGAGTGTCCTGACAACTATTTGAAAACACCACTGAAGAATCTGACAGAATTTGATCCAAAATGACTTGTCCTCAAAGCTCCCCTCACCACTCCCAATCTGTCCTTTAAAATGGAAAGAAAGAAGATCTGGGGGAAGGGAGGGTTTGGATAGATTTATTGTCTCCTCCTGCACCATCCAAGAAGCCCTGGAGCCAAAACACTTACTGTTAGAGTCCAGAAAGACCACCCTTAGAAACCACTCTGACTTTGCAGCGTGTACCCCAAGAGGAGAACACGGAGGATCCGAAGGGTGGGCAGTGGAGGGAGCCAAACAGATCACTCTGATCCCCTCAGGCTAAATACTGACTAAGTACATTGCAATGTAGAGTCCTTTGGAGTACTGGAGGAGGGGTTTAGGTTTAAAAATAAAAGGGAGACTATTTTTAAGCCCCTTGTGAGGGAGGTAAGTATTACTACTCCCATTACTATCCCCACTCTGGAGAAGAGGAAGCTAAACTTTGAGGCTGTAAGAACACAGCTGAGGCCATGCACTGCATTCCAGTTTATGTCTCCTGGGCTTTGGTAGTGCTCTCAGATTGCTGGGTCTCATCTCTTTCTATTAAACCACGAGGCTGGACTAGTGGGGGAACAGTTTGGGAAGCATCCTGGGCCAAACCCTTCGCTCTGCTGCCAGTACACCTGGTGAAGCCGGAGGGCTGTGTATGGGAGCAGAAGTGGCCATGGGGCATTCCCCAATTCCCTGGGAAGCAGGGCCAGCCAAGGCCTGAAACAGGCCTGACACAACCTACAAGAGCTCTACACGGCCAAGGGATTGGTGCTTAAATTGTTCCTCTACAGAAGAGGACTGGGACATCTCCTTCCCCACCCCTGCCTGACGCAGAGGGGAAGAACCAGCTCTGGCTTTCATTAGGACAACTTTCTGAGACAGCAAGGCTGAGACTTTGGCTGCATCAGAAACAGGAATTTAGGACCTTTACAAACCCCTCCAAAATAGTCTTCCTTTCCTCCATGCCCTTCTCTCTGTGCCTGTGCCACTCAGTGAGGGGCTTGCCCTGCAGAGCAGCAGGGCTGCAGCACTCATCCCCCTCTGGGGGTGTGCACAGCCCCCACTGACCAGAACATCCCTAAAAATGCCAAGGAGCAAAAATTCACTCTCAATCTGTAAGTTTATATGTGAACTAAGAAAAGTGAGTGTGATCCTTATGAAACTGCAGGGCTTGGAAACTCACAGGTGCTGCAGGGGACAGCCACTCACTTGGGGGCTTTTGGAAAATCCTGTCTTGAAAACTTTCTGTCCAGCCCTTGAAATTTCCCTTCCTTTACTCGGTATTTTGAAAAACAACCCCTTGTTTGTTCACAGGTCAAAAATCAGCCAATCATGTTCAATCTAATGTGTTTTGTGATTAATGTTTGCATGTAGGTAAGGGTTTTATTCTTGGAACAAGCCACCTGTCAGTAGCAAAAAACAGGTCACAGACAGGAGGAATATACCAAATACCTTTTTCTTGTGGCAGAATCTGCAAACAAGGGAAGAAAAAAGTCATGGGGCACATGGCATTGGGTGAGTAAATGTGGTACATGGGAATTCAGAGTCAGTATTTCCTTAGCCTGGGAAGTTAGAGCTCAGAATGACTTTCTTTCCTCCATAAAATTAAAACTCCTGGCTATGGAAGGTCTTAATGAAATGAACACTACACTGTAATTTGGAGCTGTGCAAACATCTCACTGCACTGGTAGCCAGCCTGGCTGTAGGCAAGGCTTTCCAGTGGAGGTTTTGTACGTTGCAGTCTATTAAATGGAAGAAGGAACAAACCACTTACCTTCAGGTCTTGTGAATTCCCTGAAGGTGGGCAGTGAAATGACAGTGTGGGAGATGGTGTGGACTGGATCCAGCACACAGTTGACATCGTTTGGCCGGCAGGACTTGATGCAGCGGATGGTGTCTGTCTTCTCCAGCCTCACACTGAAACAAACCAAAAAGAGATGCATGTATATCCTGAAGATTAATTGCTTTGTGGTATGCAGTCTAGGGAGCTAGAAACTGTGATTGATGTAAGTGTTCATTCCACACCCTGAAAACTCAGACGAACGCAGCTCAGCAGAACTTTGGGACCACTGAAAAATTTGGCTTGGCTCAGGGTGGCAGCCAGAACTCCCTCACACCCGGCTCTTCAGGCCAGGCACGTGAAACAGGGAGAACTGGAGTGCAGCAGACGCCAGGTAAAGTGTCTTTCCAAGGACAAACAGGAGCAAACAACGAGACCCAGGCCCTCAGCTGGCCTGGTGTCACCACTTTCAGTGGAGCTGCACTTCCTTTGCACAAGCCTTTTTCACTCAGTCATGTAAAGCAGAAACCATCATTTCCACTCCAGAAATCTGGCAGGATATATGTGAAGGGCCAACTTTCTTCCATGACTTTCAGTGCAGCAAGGGCCAGAAAAGCCTCTCTCAAATCTTTTTTTCACACCCTCCCTTTTCATCCAAACTGAGGAAACAGAGAGGAATGGAAACCAGGGGAGGAAAAAAGTTAGCCACATTATATGAAACCTCAAAGATTGAATTCTGAGTTTGGGGAAATGGTAAGGGTCATTTCATATATTCCATCTCGACCAGCTGCTCATTCGGCCTTGAAAGTCTATTAAAAGTTAAATGACTTCTTCTCACCCTTGTCCACCAGAGTGAATTTAAAGTCACTTACAGTTCAAGAACTTCACACAATGCCCACTCTGTGCTCATGAGAGATGAAAGGGCTGTGCTGGGACTTAAAATGTGACTAAGCCCCACAAATGATCTCAACTTTGACCTGCCCATTTCTTCATATTTCCAAGTGGAAAAAAGAAAGGGCTGCAGTGTCAGAGGGGGGAGGAATTAAAAGATTAAAAGGGAGAAAAATTCACTGACTAAAAGGGAAACAAAAATGGAAGTTTTACTTTGTCAGATACCTCTAGAAATGAATGGTTCTTGCTCTTTTCAAAATATGTTGCCCAAATCCACACCTACAAACCATCTTTTTTAGATGTTCAAAGGGACTTTATGGCTCTGTTAACAGTCAGTACATCTGTAAGTTCTCATTACATACTCCCCACAGTTGCTCATCAAAGAAAACAAAGGCAAACACGCTGATACTGCATGAAGTTAAAATAAAGAGAAAACATGAACCAATATCAATGTTTTGCTTCAACAGAAATGAACTGCACAGCCCACGGGGAGGCAACAGAGCTGGGTTAATAAACACCAACTGAGTCTGGGGTTCACACCCTGGACTTGGTGTTTTGAGACTGGCCAGGACATCCAGGCCAGAAGAGACCCTTTAGTTCCCACCTTTACCTGGGTACAAAATTTTGTCAGTTCCCAGACACCCCACAGGGAACAGAACAGGCCTTTCTGCTGAAATGCCTCCTGCTGGGCATTTTTGGATAAAATAATTTTGGATATACAGACATAACACTCTGACCTACAACAACATATGCAATTCCCTTATTTTAAACCTCGGCTGTCAAAATAAGAAGGGACTTCCAGCTGGCTGATCCTCATGGCTGTGAAATAAGGATCAGCTAAATTACATAGTCGAGGTCTAGTGTAAAATAGTCTATTTCAAAACATGTAACATATAAAATTGACGCAAAATAAACATCATTCGTGTTTGCTTCCCTCTGTCCCCTTCTTCTCCCTGTGCACAGAGAGTTTAGTAAACATTTACATATAAACCCACTGCATTTTTCCTCAGGATCCTGCTGAGCTGGGCTCACAACAGCCAAGTCCCACTAGTTCTACTTCCAATAACATGTTCCCAAATTCCAGAAAAGTTCTTTAAAAGTTTTTCTTTTTTTCTTCAACACACAAATAATAACTATAGCATCCTCTAGAGGTTTTAGGGACACAAATAACCAGCAGCTTGCATAACTTATTTTGGGATATTATTACTAATGAAGTACTGTTAGAATACACAGAGCATCCTAAATTTCCATAGCTGTATTTAGATAATAGAAAAAATAACGCAAAAACCATTGTGGAGGGAGTGTCTGAGGCATTCAGCATTGGCCTGCCTTTGCTCCTTCCTGATATTTGCTATCAGTGGTGTGCTCTGATCTCAAAATACTTTGTAATTTTATCCTTGCACATCGTCTTTGCATTTGATCTTCTGATAGCTGAGGTTTTCCTTTTTTGCTTATGTTCTGCCCTGGGACCTGTGACTGACAAAAGTTTCTTCCTACGTGCTGAGAACTTTTTTTATCCGAACCTTTTCTTCAGGTTTTCCCCCTCTAACACAAATTGCAGCTTTGGAACTGCTCCTTCCTCTACACCTTTTCTATTTAAAAGAGAACAAAGTTTAAAAACAGTTCAGTTGCTCTGATTACTTCCTGAGTATAATTTTTTCTTTCTGCTTGGGTCCTGGTATCAGTCCTTTCCATATTCTCTGTTGGATTCAATCAATAAGTTCTTTGGACCAGGAGCTGTGATTTCATTTTTGTCTGGAAAGGACCAGGCACATAAATGGCACTACATAATTCCATATGTGCTCCTGGAAGTCCCAGTGACACTGCAGCATTAAAGCATCCAACACAGGAGGATGTGAGCTCCCTGTTCTTCAATTCCCTGCTGAATGCAATTAAAATGGCAGCATTTTACAATACTGAAGGCCAAATTCTCACACCCCCTTCCTTTCCTGCCAAAGAAATATATATTAATGTTTGTGAAAATGAAGTTTATTTTTGAATCTTTATCCTACTTAATTATGGCCTCATAATGAACTGGTAGCCAGAGGGCATTTACATACAAGCATCTTCTGTGGTGGTAATGAACCCCATTAGCTCAGGCAGCATGGGCTTGTGCTTTCAGTATTTAAACCTGGGACTCCATCCCCACTGGCAGCTTGTGGTAGCTTTGGAAGTGTGTGTCAACAGGCTTATTAAACACTGGCATTCCTCATGAGACTGGAGCTCCTGCCAGCCAGCTGGGCTAGACTGTGCCTCAGGGGATATGTGATGCTCTGGCACAGAGCTGTGATCATGCCCCATCCAGGCCCTGGCTGGTGATGAGCCCGGGAGCCCACAGCTCAGGGAGTAATTCCTTGTGCTCAGGTGGTTAAGGCTTGGCATCTTCCTTCAGAAAGTTCTGTTTCCCCCCTCGTACCCTGTGCTGTCAGGATTTACAGAGTGAAGTATTTTTTCTGTATGTGCAGCCACATGGATTATTCCCTGCTCTTCTAGGACTGACTGTTCTCCCTGTGTGCCAGGCAGCAGGGAGATCTGAGCCCAGGGTGGTGTAAAACCCTCGTTTTGGATCACACCTCTGGGACTGAGCTTGTACTTTTATTTATCAACACAAGGACCAGAGAGTACAATGAATCCTCTTCCAGCTCAGAAAACAAAAGCATTCCAAAGAAATTCCCCTTGTATTGTCTACTTTGCCCTTGACTGCATAGAAGTAAAGGAAGAAAGTCAAAATAAAGGAAGAAAGGTTTGGATGTTGGAATTCTGGCTGACCTTTCAAGGCTCCTAAGGTTTGATTTGATGGTGGTAGTGGGTAAAGTCTTCACTATTCAAAATTTATCAGCTTTGATATGGAAGCTGGAGAGACAAAAGTGTTATGAGACAACCCTTTTTAAAATGTTCCTGTAGACAGGAACATTTCAGGATACAGCTGTGAAAGAGAAAGGAGCTCTCTGCTGTCAGCTGAATGCTGTTAGAAGTTCACTGCTGTTCTCCTGTCAGTAGTTCTTCCATTCAGTGGAAAGTCCACAGAAAGCAAGATGAAAGATCTCTAAAACAAATCTTGTTTAGAGGAGATTCTCTTTTGTACCATCCTTAAAAGCTCGAACTGGGATCTGTACCTGGTGGGAATCAGCACAAGCTCAAGGGCTGTAACAGAGCACAGCCTCAGAATCTGGCTCCACACTTTCACAGTGGGCACCTCTGGGGCCCTAAGGGCCCAAGTTTAACAGATGTTCAGAAAATGCAGAGTTTGCCCCTTAAATGATGCAATTCTCTAAAGATGACTCAGTTGAGACAGCTCAAATTATGTACCTATTTCATTTGGGAAATTCAGACCTAAACATATGCGGCTGTTTGTCATCAGATGAGACAAACTCCACTACTGTGTGAAGTAAATCAGTGGTTTTCAGTCCTCAGAACCTCCAGGTAATAAGCTCTTAGACTCCAGTTTCTGCTTTGTATAACGGTGCAGATCACACAGAAGAACCTCCCCGAACTGAGATGTTCAGTTACAGGGGAAAGTGAAGAACTGGAACAATGATGGCAAATAAAATGCAAGTGCAGCGTGCAACGGATGAACTAAAACTTTATTAAAACTTGTGGCAAAAAAAGCTACTCTTGGAAGAGAAAGAGTAGCCAGTGGTGACAGCGATTCAGGGATCAAAGCTGTGCAGAGACAAAGATAGAAAGTTTGGCAATAAATGTGTTGACAGTTCCATGGCGGGAAAGTTGCATTTGGATTGTCAGGTGAAGGTCTCTGGGCTCTGTGATTTGACGCTGCATGACCACAAGGCCACTGTGGTTGTTCACTTTTTTTGTGGTGAAAAACCCCTCGTGGTTCCCGCTGATGATGGACAGCCGAATTTTATCCCCAGGGACAGCATTGGAAGGGCCCATGCGGAAAATGTCGGTGGGTACTTGGATGTTGGTAGGAAAAGAGAGGTGATAGTAGGTTATTCTCAGGGGCAGGCTCTGGCACTCCTTATTCTCATTACAAGGCAAGCGCTCACAGCGACTGCAAGACAAGTGAGAAGACAAGACAAGAGGAAGATTAGCGCACGGGTAGCGAGCGGGACAGGAGAGGAGGGCACTGGGGTGGGACGAGGGCCCTGCCTGCATCCATTCTTCAGCCTGGCACCTCATCCCTACTGCAAAGGGGCATTTATCACACAGGGATGGGCCTGGCTGCAGGTGGTGTCCTGGCAGAGGCGCTGCCCTTGTCAGTGTTGCAGAGGTGGACACGAGATCTCAGCTGGACGCTGACCCTGCAATGTCTGGGGAGGATCAGGCTCCACATTTAGCTCCAGGCTTGCCTCGTGGACAACTACAAATCACCTCAACTGGGCACAAGAGCCTCTCCACTCCAAGCAATATTTGGTCCACAGGTTGAGGTTTTGGAACCTAAACAATGTGTTTCTTTACCAAGAAATGCTCCAGCATTAAAGCACGGTTGGTTTCTTACTACCTCAAGTAAATCTGAGTGCCCGTTCCATTTATTTTATTTTGGCATATAAAACTGAGCCCCTGTCAGGAGTATCTACTACCAACAGAACTGTGGCTCATAAGCAAGACCCTCTTTGTTGCCAGTGCAGGGTGACCTGAATTCCAGGAACTTCTCATTATATGCAAAATCAGCACTTTCAAAAAGAGTAGTTAAAAGCACCCTCAGTTCTTCAATTAATGTGCTGCATGTTTTTCTTTAATACCGCTTGCAAACCAAAGTACAAAGCAATTCTTTGAAGATCTAAATGCATCCTTAATTTTATTCATGTGTGTAAAGAGCGTGCACAAGTCCTCACAGGATGGCCAGCTAATTAGGTGTGGATACTCCTGGAATATTTTCAGGTATAGAGAGTTCTGCATTCTTTTCTGAGATGTCATTAATAACTCCACTAAGGAGAATGGTTTGGTTTTGTTGAAATCATGAGGCTACTTGGTTTTGCTGAAATCATGAAGCAAGTCAAGACAGTTAATTCCTTAGTTTTCTTCAAGTACAACTTCTTGGAAACATAGACATGCTTATGAGCACTTACACACTCATAAAGATGCTCTGCCTTATTATTTTACAGAAGTAAAATACGTTTTATAATAATGGCCAGAATTTTTTAAGAGAACAAAAAACCAAGGCTCCAAGACTCGAGAAAGGACATTCTGCTGATTCAGAAAGCTCCCTGTGAAGGTAGATGTGCCTGTGGCCAGGAGCTAGAATTATTCAAAATTCACCATCTTTTATCTTGTGCTTCGGTGGTGCACACTACACACTGACTACAGGTTGAGTTAATGTGCACTAATTGTTCCATCAAACCACCACAAAGGAGAGATAGCAGATGTTATTGCTCTGGAGAACCAGGGTTCATTCTGGGGTCACGCACCGCAAAGGCGAGAAGCAAAGAGCGTTTCAACCCCGGGGCACTCTCCAGCCCTCATTGAAATGCTTCCCTCAGTGGGCAGCAGGAAATCAGATGACAGGGGAATGCAACAACCTGCTGGCACAGAATCACAGACCCACCAACGCTGACATTAGGGAGAAAACTGGGCTCCTGTGCTGTGGCTCAGGCACTCTGGGGAGCTGGACCTGCATGACTCAGACTGCCTGAAAGGGCTCGGGTCTGCCAAGTCAGAAGATAATGGTTTGTTGCTAAAAGAAAAACACCTCTCTGCTGATAGGGAGAATTCAATTGCTCTGAGGCAGATAGATTGCTACAGAGGCTATGAAATCCTTATCATTCAAGGACTTGAAGCAGAAGTTAAATAAACAACTCCCAGAAATATTCCAGGTAGGTCTAAGACTTTTTTGCCATACAGAAGTGGATTCGGTTTACCCATCAAGGTCCTCATTTTGTATGTTTTATGAAAAAAAAGGCTAAATGCAATTTTACAAAGTTTGCAGTTTCAGAGGTATCACAGGTTTTTGGTAAGGATGACAAAAAATTCAAAAGCAGTCTCCTAAGGAATGTCAGATTTCTACTCCAAACTTTTAAAAGAAAAAGAAAAATCACCAAGATGTCTTAAAACACACAAACCAATGTGTTCCTCCCTACCCTTGTTCTTGGAAATGAGTGAGCTGCTTTGGCTGAAACTGGCCAAAACTTGAGCCTGAGTCAGACACCTGGCAGGTAAAATTTCAGCCATTGGTTACGTTTTGGCAGAATTTTAAGGAGTTGCAGACAGGTCCTAGTAATGAGAAGCACCAGGCAACTTTAATAATACACAGACATGCCTAGAATATACAAATATTTCCCAATTTGGCTCAGCCCAGCACACATTTCTGACACGTTGCCATAAACCCTTCTTTATATTTTCTACTATTTTTCTTGGCTTAAATATTACAAATGTTAAGACTTCAGTGCCACATAAAGAGAATTTAATTGTTATGCAATTTGAAAACAAAAACTGTTTGGCAAGGCAGTGCAGCAAGTTAAGTCCTATTGTGAGGAGCAGTAGATCTTAACTATCCTTGGAAAAATACCAAGCCTATAGGCTGATCCATGAAAAAACAAAAAGCAGAATTTAGGTAAAAGAGATAAGGCCTTCAATTAAATCATTACCATCAAGGCTCAGAGCGTGCCAGGCATTTTGCTGTCTCTGGGGAAGGTTACACAGGCTGTTTCCTCCTGGAGCTCAGTGTCTAAACAGCATCCTGAGCTTCCAGCCTGTAGGATGGGACAATCCTGCAATTACCTCTCCTGATGGCCATCACCACTCAACAGCCACCATGCAAAAACCTCTGCCTTGAAGGTATGGGGTAAAGAAGCTTCTGGATCACTGAGGGCTCTTGCCTGTACACAAGGATTTTAAGGAAAAATAAGACTAAGGAAACTTGGATTTACAGGACTGAGACCTACTAAAGAAAATAATGGGGAACAGGGTAAAAAAAAAAATCTCCTGAGGTGCCAACTTGATGAAAGGGAGTAGAGAATATGTTGTCTCTCTTATGATGTGCCAAGCTGGTGAAACTGGAGTGTATTTTGAATAAAAGGGAGAGGGAAATGGTAACTGTACTAGATGTGATGTTATGAGAAACCAACTATTTCGATTTTGGAGTCCTGGCATAAGGGTGAGTGAAAAAGCAATTTAATGTCATTATCATGCAGAAGGTAACAAAGACATGCTAGCTACATATCATATATATAACCATGCTGGTTAGGTATGCTAAAACTAAATAGCCAAGGAGATGTACAACAGTTTGGATGTAAAAAAGGGTGCTAAAGAGCTCTCATGAAACTACTCCCCACTGGGCACCAGGTAACCCAATGCACAAACCCTGATTCCTGCATGTTGGTGTATCCTGGCTAGGTCTGAGGGCACCCACTGCCTGCTGAATGCTCCCACTTCTCCAGGAAAGACAATGGACTCATATTCTCTTTCACTTATGCAAACATGTTTTCAACAATAAATTTAGTAACTGTCTGTAGATGCTGAGAGGGAAAAACCTAATAAATCCAACAAGATAATAACTCAAGAAATTAAAATAATTAGAAGTTCACTGAGCAGCTGCAGGATTCGTGTCTGACTCATGGCCTAATTATAGTCCCAGCACATCAGCAGGATCTCGCCCTCTGAGCAGGTCTGAGTTGGGCAGAGTAAGCCATTACAGAGCCCAGCAACCCAGACACAGAAAAACAACTCAGACATTCTATTGCTTCCCCAAAAGATCTCACACAGATCAAATAGCCATGAAAGCCCAATGGAGATGAGAGAGAAGATGAAATGGAATGTATGTGCACTATGTGTGTTTTATAAACTGAACTCTGCCACTCAGGGATGTCCATAAGAGGAGGAATCTGCTACTTCTGCCTCGTGGCCCACTGCATGTGACTTTTTTTTTTTTTTTTAATTAGGATACAAATGAACCCACAATTTTACAAAATTAGATGCCTCAACCCTGACAGTGTTCAAAGCCAGGCTGGATCAGGCTTTGAGCAACCTGGTCTAGTGGGAGGTGTCAAGGATTTTGAAGCTGGATGTAACCCTCCCAACAGGTTGCCAGCAAGGGAGCCAGGGAGAGAGTATCTGCCTGTGGCTCTGGAGTCCATGACAGTGCAAACCACTGACACATGGCATTTTTTAAGGGGCTGTCTTTTTCTTAGACTGAAACAGGATCACGAGAAGGAGACCAGACCTGTGTGTGCACTGCACAGGGCAGGCCTGCCAACACAACACGTGTCTGCCAGGAACTGTTCTGTGTTCAGTCAGCAGTGGTGGGACACAAAGGAGATCATGGCACCACCAAACTGCCTGCCCTGGACAGAGAAGCTGAAGAAGCTGAAGAAGGTGAAGAGGGCACTTACGTGTCTCCTGACTTGCGGTAATTCTCCGGGCATTCCAGGGACAGGCAGCGGAAGCTGCCCTGGATGTTAAAGCAGGTCTCGTTGAAAGAGCAGTTGTGGCTTTCTGCAACACACTCATCGATGTCTGCGAGGGAAACAGGGCAGGGGTTAGACACAGGCCCTTCCTCTCCTGGCAGGTGCCAGGCAATGACAGTGCCCTGTCAGGTACTACAGAGCGTGGGCTGCACTTAAACACTGCAGCAGGACTGGAAGGGGAGGACAGCAACAACAGAAAAGAAGAAAATTAACCCAACAACCAAGAAGAGCAAAAGGAAGAGCAGCAGTGCCACTAAGTGGACAAGACCTAAACATCTGCTGACGTGTTTACAGCAGGATATTTCCTTTTAACACCTAAACTAACTCATACCACTTCACAGCCTGAATCTTTGTCTTCAGATTTTTTTAAATAATTATTTAATAACATTATAAAAAGTATTCTTTACGGAATTCTGTACTTCACAATGGAAACTTCCTGTATATTTATTATTGAAGACTTGTTTCTTCAGATTTCAGGCTGCCGTTTATTGCTTTACCTGTATTGTTGTAGGAAAGGCATTTTTTTAAACACAAAAACTCTCTAGAACTGCTCAAAGCCCACCGTGCAGCGAGGTGTCCCTGAGCTCACCTTGGCAGTTGCGTGCATTGGGTGCCAGCCTGTAGCCAGAGGAGGGACAAGTGCACTGGAAGCTCCCAGGAATGTTGATGCACCGAAAGGAACAGATGTGCCCTCCGGTGGGCAGAGCACACTCATCGATGTCTGCAAGGAGAAAACACTGATTTCCTGTGTGTTCATGGCACCCAACCGGGTGCACACAGATGGGGCTCCCGCTGAGAGCCTCAAACACAGTGTGATGATTCTGACTGCTGGGCAAAGCAGATCATCAGATAGGTGTGGCTCTAGTCAATAAAGTCTAAATAGCAAAGACTTGCAGGAATAAATGGAGGTCTGGAGAAAATTAAAAGCAGCATGAGGGCCCAAGGGACAAAGTAATGGACAAGAGCAAGCACTTTACAGTGATGTGTATCACTGTGCTTTGCAAAAGGGAGGGAGAGGAATAGTTTCATCCTTGTTATTACAAAAAAAGGAAATCAAAGTTAGGTGTTCTGCCCAAGGTCTCACTGTCCAATAAGTCCTGTAGACCTAAGTCCAAATTCAGGCTCTTGTCCATGAGGTCACACCCCATCCTCCTTGTATTTGAGGAGAACCTACTCACACATTAGTTCAGAGCCACAGAACGAGCCACAAAAAGAGGATATATAAAATACTCCCTAGTAATATTATATATTACCTATGTAACATGTTCATATCCTCACTTGCTGAAGACTAGAAGTCCTGCTAGTTCCTCAGACAAAATAAATTTCTGTCAAGTTACAAAAATATTTCAAGCTCCGATTCATGTAAACATCAAAACACCCCAGAAGCACAGAGATGTCTCTGGACAAGGGCACGGGAGGGAGACCTTCCCTAAATACAGTTCACGAGAAAATACCACAGAGAATCAAACATTAAAATGAAACAATTGCGGGGAGGGGCTCCCGTTTGTGACGGTGGCAGCGAGAAACGCTGCCCGTCCCTCACCTTCGCAGGAGATGCCGTCGATGTCGCTGAGCTGGAAGCCCCGGCGGCAGTAACACTGGTAGGAGCCGTACACGTTGGCACACTCCTGGCTGCAGGGGTTGCTCTCACACTCATTTAAATCTGAAATGCAAAGTTAAGGCACCTGAACCCCGAATTTCTCGCTGTGTTCAGCGCTCCTGACGCTGGACTCAGACAAAACTTCGGAAGGCAATTTTTCTAATGAAATCATAACAGCAAGAGACTGCAGTGGGTTGGTTTGTCACACCATTCCAGTGGCCTTGCAAGCTAAAAATCAAACAGAAACAGCTGAAGAGCAACGAGCTGTTTGTCACACCACACAGCCAGGGCACTGACAGCCGTACCTTCACACGATCTCCCGTCAGCTGAAAGTTTGAATCCCATGGTGCAAGTGCAGTAGTAGGAGCCAGGAGTGTTCTCACACTTGTGAGCACAGAGGCGGCCTGGGTAGCGTCTGCATTCGTTGATATCTGCAATGACAAGCACAGAGAGCTCTGTGGAGCAGCTGCCTTCACTGCAACAGCAGCCTGGGCAAGAAAGCAGCCATAAAAGTTTGGGGTTTATTTTCCAGATTTAAATTCCGCACTAGAGAGGGAAGAAGTCCTCAAAATGCTCACTTAGAAACACCCCAGTGCATAATTGGATTAGATCTATACACAGAAGAGAGCTGCTTTGATCTTCCAGAGGAATGTTTTGCTGTAGGTGCATATAAAAATATCACAGAAAACAATTACACACACTCTCACAATCTTACCTTTTAATGGGATGACAGATAACATGTTGACAATACCCATACAGCTTCCTTTGAAGTATCAGCAAGCCTCTAATATGTTATTAGATTTATCCAAATAACACAGTAGTGAATTTTACATTCTGATGACGAAGGTTATGCAGAGAGCACTAACATTCCTGACACAGGCTCACGTTTGAAGTGCCTTGGCTGCAGGTCTTTAACTCACCAATGCAGGTCCTGCTGATGACATCAAAGGTGTAGCCAGCCTTGCACTCGCAGCGGTAATTGCCCGGGGCATTGATACACACGTGTCCCTCCCCACAGGGCTGGTTGGGGGATGAGCACTCATCCACATCTAAAACAGACAGAGCAGGGACTCAGCATACACTTCTGAGCAGGAGAGTGGAGAGAAGAGCAACGTGTCAACTTGTTTCTGTGTCCCCGAGTACTTATGAAGAGTTTTGAATCAGAGAGTAAGGTTTTATCAGACTCTCAGCTTCTACAAGATCAGAGTCACGAATGCAAACTGTTCATACCAAGGCAGGTTATCTGTCAGGTGTCCTTAACGTTGATGGACTTGGGAGGGAAAAGACCGGGAAGTCAGGCAACCTTTGGAGGCAATCAGGTGTAAAATTGTTTTGTTAAGCACATTCAGTACCCAGGGATCAGATCTTCATCTAGGATAAGATGTCATAGGCCCACAGTCAGTAGGTAGTGCTTTGACAAGCCACTTACAAAAACTGAAAACACACGCAAAAATACATCTCTTTGCAAAAGCCACCTCAGCTGAAAGCCAGTCAAAGACATATATGTCTTTCAACATTATTCAAATGGCTTCTGTGGGGTATGAAGTGGGCCTTGTGTTATCCCTGCCCCTCTGTACTGAGGAGATTTGGGACCACACAGTATTGTTCCAATACACTCATACAGTCACAGACAATGCCCTTTTTGGGGGTGATTATCATTTCTCCTCTCCTCAGAATATAAGGGTTCCATGAGGTATATGAAGGATGGAGAGGATGCTTGTCATCCTTCACTTGTTGGGGCTGCCATGAGGGAAAGAACAGGATCAAGAACTGACTGTGGGAACGAGAGGAGCTTGAGCAAAGTGCAAGAAACTGCTACAGACAAATGACAGATGCAAGTTGTTTTCTTAAAGCTGCTTTTTCCTGCAAACTGTTCCTCACCTACACATCTTGTCCCATCCTCGTTGAGGTGGTACCCTCGGCCACAGCTGGGTGAGATTCTCTGGCAGGTGAAGGAGCCGTCAGTGTTAATACAGATCTGCCCAGCCGGGCACGGCGTGTTGGTGCTCAGGCACTCGTTGATATCTGCAAGAGCACAAGATGCTTTCACTATGTAGCCCTTCAGAGGTTTACATCCCCATGTAACTCTTCAGAGGCAAGATCTGCCCATGGCACAATACAATTATTCAGGCCCTTCAGCTTCACCAATGCAATGCTTCCAGGGCGAAGACTGGGCAGGTGTGAGAGGCACAGACCCCACTGAAAAGCAGTGAAAATAGGGTATAGTACTTGTATTTGTTTCAAAACCTCCCCTAAGCATACAAAGAGCTGACCAACAATTCAGCTCATCAGTTTAACCCATTCTGTTTCAGTCTGTGGGTTCTGATCCCGCTCTCAGCTTCTACACAAAGAGCAGAGTCACAAATCCAACAACAAAATCCCCTCAACACTGCACAGGGCAGCATTTGATTCCCATCGTGTAAAATTCACCTGCGAAATTGTTTTGGTAAATATTTTGAGGGAATGCCTTTTAGGGGCCATAACTGCTACAAATTGCTGTGGCTTTGCTGACATCTGTGACAGCAAGTTAACCCTGAGCTGCCACTGACCCGGGGCTGCCTGTGGCAGGCACGTGTCCTCAAAGGGCTTGCTGTGCACAGGCACTGGCCCCCCCATTTCAAAGGCTGCAATTCTGTTTTCAGTGTCAGATTTCACACCACAGGGTATGATATGGGCAGGACAACGAGGGGCTGACAGGGAGCTCGACTTGGCAGCTGCTGCCGCTCAGCCAGTTCCACAGGTCCGAGACCTGCTGTGCCGATGGGGGAATCCAAAGGTAAGTTGAGACTTGAAAATCCTACTCCAGGGAATAACTGGTAGATTTTTAGGTCACATTAGACAATACCATTTAGAGTCTGCTGGAAACCAGCAATTCTTAAGTATTTATATAAAGGTTATAATTCTGTTTCAGGGAGTTTTGGAAACAAGGCATTAGCCTGACAGATTGTCATCAGTCTTTAAATTAAACTCCTCTCCACGGTGTGTTATAACTGGCCCATCATACACATACACAGTAAGGTTCTTGATAGGCTGCAACAAGGGACAGGTCTGGAAGGACCTACATACCCATAAAACCACACAGAGAAAGGGTGTAACAGAGGAGGTCATAATTAAAGCTTTTTACACTAAGCTTTGGCTAAAACCTTTTGGATAGAGGTAGATAAAATACATCACAAATTTTGTTTCAGATAAAATACCCAAAGTCTTAAGGAAAGTGTTCAAATGCAGCTATGTGCCTTAGGTAACCTAATCTCACTACAAACGGCGATCTGGTATTTGAGTCTTTTATTTCATCTGTACATCTTCCCTGTGAAAAGGAGCAGAAAAACCCCAGAGCAGAGCAAGGCACAGATGAAGAACGGCTCGAGAAGCTCAGAAATCATGCAGTGAAACTCCAGCTTGTCTCCCAGGCAGCACTGGGGTGTCCCCTGAGCCCAGAACAAGCCTTACCGATACAGTTGCCGAGCGCATCTTGTATAAAGCCACTCATGCACTGTAGCTTGGGTCGGCAACGGAAGGATCCTGGAGTATTCTGACAGATAAAATCGGGGGGGCAGTTATGAGTACCAGTCTCACACTCGTCAATATCTGGTACGTCACAAAAAAAAACTGTTAGCAGGGGTGAGGCAAGGGTTCCATCCATCACAGTTCAAACACAAGACACAGTTATAAACACCCGACAGACGAATGCCCAGCGTCCCTTCCTGCAGTGCACTGCAGTGACCAGGAGCAATCTGACCTGCTACCTCAGCCAGGATCTCAGGGAGGGGAACTTCAGGGGTTTTTACTATTTTCCTATTGTTTTTATATCTAGGGGTGTGTCTGTGCATATTATGCTTTACAGGGTTAGTTCTCACAACAGAATGATTCCAAACTCTTGCAGAGCACCTGAAGCATCACGTTCAGCAGTGCTCAGCCTGGATCCAGCCCTGTGCTTAGCTTTGAAGTCGGTAAGATTTAATTATCCAAGTGCAATTTTAATTCTAACCTCAGATCCAATGCAGACATTGTTAATTTCTTTCGTAAGTGAATTAATTTGCCTTCATTCTCAACCATATTAAGGTTTGCAACATCCTTGCATTATTGTGCTTTTAAATGCACATAAACATGGATTATGCTAACTTCAATATTTCATTCCAGTTTAGAATAGACAATAAATATTTGTGAATAAATTATGGTTCAGATGAAGCACATAAAGCAGACGAGGGCTAATAAGGCTTTATTCACAAATGCAGCCCTGTCCACATAAAAGCAACTAAAATTTCATGTTTGCCACCTGGCAGTGGAATGAGATCTCCTAAAGCTATTAAAATACAGAAGCTCTCTGGCCATTGGATGCCTCAGCTTTCCCAGTCATGCAGTTGACACAAGTGTAGATGGAACTGCTTAGCCTAGAGCTTTGTGAGACTTAGTTAATGGATGTGGAGCCCATTTTAAGTTCAGGACGGGTTAATACTGAACTGGGTTCAGCAGAGTTCTACATGCAGCAGATCTCAGTCATGTTGCTTGGCATTTAAACACCGTATGTGAAGATTATTCACTTTCTATTTTTACCCTTATTAACATAACACTAATAATTAACATTATTAACATTATCTTATGCAGATAAGAACTCTCTAAGATTAATGGCATGCATGATTTAGTATCTGTACTCCTTTTTTTCCATCAGAAAAGACTGTCAATACCTGCCAGTAAGCTATTTGTTGGCCTAAATCTGATGTCACTTAAATCAGCAGAAATGTTACTTCGAAGGGATCACAGTTAAACCACAATACTCTGAAAAGCATTGCCTGATGTTCTGCAGGTTTTGCAGTTGGAGTTTGTCCACCAGCTTTTTTATCCAATCTATTTTTCTTTACTGATCAGTTCCTACAGTAAAACCTTACCCAGGACTTTGGTTGAGTTAATTTACTCAGTGGAACGAAATTAGTTTATTTATAAACTGTTCTAAACTCAGCAGGGACAGATTTTCTCACAGTAAAAACCAATTCCACATCAAATGGAGTTTGCTGCTGATTTATCTCTGTAAAGGCAGCGTGTCAGGTGAAGTTATGGACGCAGGTAACAGCATCCTTTGAGCCAGACACACCTGGAAATCGGCCATTTTTTTACTAAAGGAGACTGTTACTCTTGCATTCAAACCTAGCTAGTCAAGAACAGTGCTTTTAGCCCCTTGTTGTCTGGAGGATTCCGGGCTCCCTGCCCAGGACATACCTTTGCAGCGACTGTCATCTGTCAGCTCGTAGCCGGTCCCACAGCTGGTGTCCCGCTGGCAGCGGAAGGATCCCAAGGTGTTGACACAGGTCTGGCCAAGCCCACAGCTGTGTGTCCCAGTGATGCACTCATTAATGTCTGGGGAACGCAAAGGGATTCAAAACAACAAAAGAGAGAGTAAATAAGAAGCATCTCTGGGAAGGGGTGAGGTCAAAGGCAGCACCATCTGGTTGAGCCTAGTGCAGACCATGTCCCAGACATGTCTGAGGTGTCACAGGTGGGCTGTGCATTCATGGGCTGCTGCTGCAGCTGGCAGTGTTTGGTTAATATTGGACTCAACAATCAGATTTTCCACACTGAATGATTCCATGGTTTGGTTATAGTGCCCATATCAATGAGGTAAACTTGCAGAAATCCTTCCCTTGCTCTGCCTGCTACCGACACATGGCTGAGGCACTCCCTGAGCCACAAGTTCCAACTTCCTACTTTACAGCTGCTGATAGACATTTCCTTTGGGCATTTTATATCTTTGAATGCATAAGAAAATTTGACATCCACATGTAGCAAATGTAGAAGTTCTTTCTTTTTATATTTAGCATTATTTCAGTGTTAATCTGACCAATCATCAATATCTATTTTGTATTCTGAAGTTTGTATATGAGCTACTTAGGCTCCATTTTCAGTCAGTGACAGAAAAAGGCACTCCTGATGAATAACATTTTTCCTCCCGGAGCAGCTGTGCAGGACTTATCAATTACTATCTTCTTCTACAGCAGAGAACAGGTATTTTATTTTGGTTTTATCCACAACAATAAATTGAAGATCTGCCTCTTCCCCACTCCAAATCCTCCGCCTTTTCTACTGATTCTTTCTTAACTTCAGCTTCCCACAATTCTCACTTCAACACTCCAAACCACCTTTTTCTGATCTCACCTCTTTCCTCAGCTGGCATAAGCATATTCTGATCTCTTCTGCCTGGGTGTGTTCTGACCTATTCTCGCCCTTTTGAAGCAAGCCTGTTGGTCCCCAAGGCACTGGTTTGATGAGTGTTACCTTCACAGGTGATCCCGTCGGGTTGCAGCTGATAACCCACGAAGCAGGAGCACACGTAACTGGATCCTGTGTCTCTGCACTGCTGAGAGCAGGGCCCACCACCTAATGGGTATTTGAAACAGTCTCAGGTAATGAATAGGCTCTTCAGAGCAGCTGGAACAAACCATTAATTTACAGCATACTTGATGACTTGTTTAGAAAAGCAGTTAACTGAACACACGTATACAAAGGAAGGAAAGGGCTGAGCACTGGAAGCTTTAAAAAAATAATACAAGAAGGGTTATTCTGGCAGACAGAAAGAGAATAAAATAGGAAATTTACACAAAATTTGGCTCATCATTAGGAAAACTTCCTTTTTCTGATCTTGTTTAAAGATAAATTAGTATTAAACATGTTTAATATCCTCAAAATAGAGAAAAGGTTATATATTTCCAGCTATTCCTGGTAAGAGTGTTGATATTCTCAGTACAGAACAAAAAAAACCCCAGAAGCATTTTTCAGAATGGCTAGAGAGGCATTAAATAGGAGGTTTGAGATGGGCACAGTCCATGTGAGCAAATGCAACTATACTACTTTATAAAAAATTTATAAAATAATCTTTGTAAGTGTAACTGTTTCTAATGAGGACAGGGCCATTAATCCACCACAGAAAATAGGCTGTAGGCACAACTCTCCTGATTTGCAATTAGCCATAGCAATCCATCTCTTGCAGGCAGCTGATTAACTGACAAATACAACAACTGCTTACATGGAGAAATAATGCCAGGGAAATATGTAACACATTTTTTTGTGTCATCTCCTGTAATTAGCAGCTGGAGACAAGCAGCAGAGGCAGTGTTGGCTCTGCTTTGCTAATGGAGACATTTGCACTCTCCCCAGAGTGTAACAGCTGTGGAACACGGAGCACAGTAAATCATCTCTCAACTGGAATATCAGTCTATTAAATTGATTTTATCCTAAATACATCACTGAGGTCTGAAATGCTGGCAGAAAATAGTGAATCGCTGCTGCTGTATGTTTATAGACATGTAAATCACGTGTGACAAGCAATAAATCAGAATGCTTAGCAGAACAATATCCCAAATACACATCCTTCCCAGGAGGCAGAATAGCAGGATTAATGAGGACAGTAGCCACTTTTCTTCCTTTCCTTTAGGTGATGCATCTCAAAAGGAAACAAGTTTCATTTAGTATTCAAACACCCTGATCATCCCAGGAGGAGAATAAAAAATGCACATATTTAATGTAGGATCCCATGTCCTGAAGAACCCACAGGACTCCACAGGTTCAAGGGAACCTCTGAGGTATCACCCACTAAAAGTTAAATAAAAGTTAAATGTATAGTCTCAGCTTCAGTTGGGTAAGATGAACTCCACTGCAGGGCTTGTATTTAGGAGCTATTGAGGCATCACATAATGGCCCACTATTTCTTGGAAAGGCTCTTCCTTCTGTTATTTTTACCCCTAACTAGCTTAGGCAAAAGGTTTTGTTTAATCTCTAGATCTAAGCTGGCTTCACTTTTATTGAAGGCAATCACAAGGGAGCTGGCTAAGAGGACTAGGCACCTGACTTACCTCTGCAGCCATCATGCAGATAAGGATCTTCTTGGTCTAATTCCTCCTTTGAAATCTCAACTAAAAAGAGAGGAGATAGGCATTAGAGGAGAAAGCACTTTTCTTCTCAAGATAAAATGCTGTATTCTTGGGATGGGACTCAGACCAGGGTTTTGGATAAACCAGGACAAAATTAAAGAGCATTATTTACATATTTTACAGCTATTTCATACTTAAATTTGACATTCAAATGCACATGGCCATGGGGCATTTTCCATCTGATTGATTCAATGTGAAAGCCATGCTGTGATCACAGATTACATATGGACTGAGATTCTCAAATGCAGGTTCTTAGCATCAGGCTTTGAACCAGAGCTTCACCTCATTTTCATAAGACATGTTGTTGAGGCATGCTTGGCTTCCACCGACTTTACAGTAGCTTGGGGTACTCACAGATTTAAATAACTGAGGTTAATCTGATTTTCATTATTTAGACTTCATTCCAGAAAGAACTCCACACCCACCTTTTGGGCACTGACTTATGGCATTCTTTCAAACATACTTGTGTACCTTAACCTGGAGAGTTTTGCTCCGTGGTGTTTGTGCCACGTGCAGAGTTTGTTCTGTCCACAGGGAGGACATCGAAGGGCTGAACACACCCTCTGCCTGAACCCACTGCTTGCCCAAAGGAAGGTGCTGACATATTTCTCATGTCATCCAGGTACATTGAATATGCAAATTTTTGTCACTAGCAGAGTGGTCTGAGGACAAGGGATCTACCAGCATTCAAGCATTTCTCAGTGGGTAAGATTCCATTAAAAATTAATAGCTTCTACTCAGCTTCCAAGACAAGATCATTAGTTGCCAAAATAAGCTATGTTACATTTAAGTTCTGACACCAGGAACTAAGTGACCACTTGCCAGCTCTTTTAGCCTCTTACTTCCAACAACAGCATTTCAGCTTTCACTACCCAAAATAATGAGCTCCAAAACATGCATCATTAAATTACTCAGATGAGATGTCACGTTAGAGGAATTCCAACAGAAATAATTTAAAGAAATAATTTAATATTCCTTGTACCCTGTATCATTTTGTGCCTCACTCTTTTACAGTCTGCAGTAAAATACCTTGCTGGTTTTTAGGAGCATCATCGCTGATGGACAGATCAATGCCTTCTGGACCTTTCCCACAGCAGGATCTAAAGACAATTCCACACTGGTGTCCCAGCTTCGGGTTGGGGTCACAACTCTGTCCTTGAACTTGGGCAGCCTTTCCCAGCAAACAACAGTAACAGCACGTCTGTTCAAAAAAAATTAACAAAGTCAAATCACAGCCCTGACCAAGGTTAGTGTTACCAGGTCATACAGAGAAGCTATTTTGCTCTGAAAAGCACAGTCAAACATTAATGAGGAGCATCACAGTCCTGCCATGGCTTGCAGCAATAACACATGGCCCTCCTCTTGCAGAGCTGCTGAACTACAGCCCTGGAATATACCACAGGAGTGAGCACAGGACAAGTTAATCCCATGGAGGTCTCCTTGGATTTCCAGTTGAGAAGATACTGCTGATTTATTCTGGTTTGTTCCTTGCTGTTAGAAAGCAGCAAAAGTTATCTGCAACTGGTGTCTGCCAATTGCTGCTGTCATGCGAAAGCAGAATTAAGCTTTTATTATTAATTTTGTTCTTCCAGACTCTGTTTTTCTTGAAGAAAATAACCTGCACCATTAAACAGAGCAGAGGTTTGGTTGGTGGGATGGTTCCTCACCACCCATTTTTATTTTACTTGGTTCTCCAACTACTTCCATCCAGTGGCAGACAGTCCAGTTTTATCACTGTTATGTCTGGGATTATTCCATCTTTTCTGGATGCCTTTAGAAATAAATACTTGATGATCTCTTCCAAGAATTGCAACATTGCTCAATATTTATTCTAACACGTCAAGCAATTCCCCGAGGCATCCTTCTCGAGGTTTATAACATCTGACTACAATTTTGTTAGATTTTCAATTTTCACCACCATAAATTAGAAGACAAAAATGAAAAGTGAGCTGAAGATTCATTATTTGACTTAAGCTCGCATATTTTTGATAACCAGATCTTATTTAAGCTATTGAATACAGCTGATGCCTTGCCAGATTTTGGTATTACATACTTCTGGATATCCTCACTGACTTCTGCTCTTAGGCATATGAATTGACTCAGCCTACTTCTTAGTCTTGTCACACGAGGTTCAAACTGGAGTTACAGGCTTCCTCTGGATTTTTTTTTAAAGAGTGATCATTAATCTTGCCATTCTTGAAGTGTTGAATAGCCTTTATTTCTTTCAGGTTGAGCCACCACTTGAAAGACCTCAGTCTCCAGCTGATGTGAAACTTTGAGCACAGAGCTTGCTAAGTCTTGCAACATCTGCAAGAAACTGTATCTTCAATTAACTAATTGTGTGCCCTGCACCATTTGTTCCAGCCTATATTTATTCTAACAGTGCACCAGGTGCCTTGGTCTAGCAGCTTGATAATGACAATAATTGCCATTGCTGTCCCACAGCCAAAACCATCCAGAGGTGGAAAGCGCCAAATGTTTTCTTAACTGCTGTTTATGGTGACTGGGCTGTTTTCCTATTGCCCCCAGACTCTGGTTTAGTTCAGTTCTGGAGGTGTTTGCAGCCGATTCCCAAAGCCTGCCAGCTGCCTGCCTGCCAGCTGCCTGGAGCATCACCCATCTGCCAGAACCACCACTGCCCCCGTGGATGGGACAGCCTTAAGGTCGAGTTGTTATCACACCCTTCCACTGCCTGCAAGCCTCTGCTTCCAAAGCGGTCCCAATAATAATATCAAACTTTTCCCCCCATCATTAGAAAAACCCCATGCAGCTTCAAAGCCATGCCTTGCTCCTCGTGTCTGGATATACAGCTGTGTCCTGCCTGAAATCCCATTATCCCTTGCCTGCCTTCTCACAGGAAGGAATCAAGATGGAAGGAGTAAAGGAACAAAGTCACATGTGAGAAATCTGAAGATTTATTTTTGGTGTGATTAGGAAGCGCCTGAAATTGCTTTGATTAATAAGGTCTCTTGATAAGTTAAAGTTTTTATTGAACTTTAGTTCTTAATTAGTTAAAGTTCCTTTTACTTAAATAGTTCTTATTATTTCTGTTCCCACATAAGTCAGTAGCTCTGGAAGGGTGAATCCTGTGCTAACGCTGCTTTTGGGATCTGTCCACAAGAGGTCTCTCCCTTGCTGAAATCCAGACATTATAACTGGGAGATGCTATGAAAAACAGACTGGAAAACCACAAATAACTCAGCAGAATTTCTCAGAATTTTTGAAGAGCTGAACAAAAATTAAAAATATGTTCAACAGTCCAAAGCAATAAATTTTTTGTGTTCACCTAATTTATGCAACTGAAGCGTCCTTGACAAAACTTGCAAGATAAAGATGTATGCCAGTCTTTGAAAAGTACTTAAGACAAATTTTGGGGAAAATGTCCAAGCACCTTAAAGATGGTCAAATTTCTAGAAGCTTCACTCCTTTCTGCAGGGCTGTTGGGGTGGAAACTTCCATAAAATCATTTCTACATCTCCTGAAGCAGCAACAAATCTCTAAATCGATCCCTGTCATTTGATGAAGATTTTAAAGATTAATGATTCATTTTGCATCCCTTTTTTTTCCCAGGGCAGGAAAAGCTATGCTTCCAAACAAGCAGAGGAGAAAATCCTGCCCATCATTACCTGTGCCTGCTGCCTTTACTGTAAAAGCTGAGGCAAATGTTTTCAAAATATGGTCTTTTTATCTTCTTTCCAATCCCAAGTCTTGGATTCAAAGGAAAGATTAGCTGCCTCATTTGCTGCAAAGTGCTGCGATTAATCCCACTAATTGAATCACTAAATCGTTCTTTCTGCTTCCTTGAAGGAGACAAAGAAGATCCAAAAGATTTTCTATGCGACCTAAGCTAAATAAAAATGGACCAACTCAGGCAAAATGAGATTCAAGCCCATGAGAGACAGGCTTGGTGTGAATGTAAAAAGCTTGTTTACCACAGCAGGGCACAAGTGCCAGACACTGTGTCTCAAGGTCATCAGATTCAAAATGTGTTTAACAGAAGAAATGATGAATTGTTCACTGATATTAGATCATAAGTTATCTATGTCCATCATGGATTAAAGGGGTTACCTTTAAAGTTACTCCTGCAGCCACCTCAGGGAAGCTGTTAAGTGTGGGATATTCCTGTCAGGGAACGGGAGGGCAGAACGTGGCTCACCAAGGTTCATTAACTCTGAGCATGTTTATCCCAGGAAATTAAACAGGCACAGAACGTGGGCTCAGGGCATTGCCCCGCAGTCATCTGTGCTGTTTAAATATCAGCAAGCTCTAATGGCAACTGCCACCCCCTCAGACAATGCTGAGGCATATTTTGGGGTCAGCACAGCCCAGCACAGCCAGGGTTCCCACCAGCCCTCCTGCACTGTGTGCTGCAGGGAAGACCTGCCATCTTCCATAGGGAAGGGGTTTGTTTTGGCTGAATGAAACATTCAGCATCTTTGAGCAGTAGGAAGAAGTCAAATCAGTCTCATCTATTTTCGACATCACTGAAAGAAACCCATAATAGGACCAGAGCTGTTCAGGACTGGGTCATGGGCAAGGTCCTGATCTCGCTCATGGAACTTCCTTCCAAACACGCTCTGCAGAGAGGTGTAACTATGCTCCCTTCAAGCAATGAGAGACAAAGACAGTATCAAGGGCACAGATTAACTGAAGATGCCAAGGACAGGCATTTTTATTCTGATGTCAAGTGCTGGTATCACAGGGTGCTGGATGTCTCCATCCAGTTGCAAATCAAAGTCATGTTCACTTATGGCACTTACACAAACTGGAATTATAAGTACCCTGAAAGGATTAAGTGCAGTCCTACCCCTTTGGACCACCAGTGTTGAAAACCACTGAGTGTGACCTTGGGCTCTAATGAAAGCTGAAGTCTGAAAGGCGGCTGAGCCTCTCACCCACCCCTCCCTGCAGCACCGACGGCTTCTTTTCATGCGCAAGTAATTTCCCGGCCAATTACCCATTCGAGACTTTCCACCCCTTTGCACTTGTCCCTGTGCCTCTGCTAGAATGCCATGTGACAGCCTGCTTTCCTCAACAGGGAACTGCTCCCCTCAACAGGGAACTGCATCCCAGGGACAGGGCACTGCTCCCCTCAACAGGGCACTGCTCCCCTCAACAGGCACAGAGCGAACAGCCTTAGCAGAGACATGAGGTGCAGGTGGGGAAAAACTGTTCGTGTGCAGCAGAGTCTGCTGACCTTCACCCAGGGAACACCACTTCTGGAGGATGAACAGGAGCAGCTGTGATGTCTCACCTTGAAGCGCTGGGCCTCGCAGGTGGAATTTTCAGCAGCATGTGAGTCGCACTCCTCGCGCACGTTGGCGAATTCCAGGCCGTCGGAGCAGGCCTGCTTCTCCAGCTGGCTGCGGCAGCACTGCTCCTGGCTCATGCTGGGACAGGCGGGAGCAGGGGGAGAGAAATGGCACACAGGGTCAGGAACAGGCAGTGCAGTCTGACAGTGAGCACCTGAACCAGTCGGAGGGAAAGAGGTTCCCGTGGGAGCACAGTTCCATCACCACGATGTCCTCTGGCTCCAGCAGGGACAGCGTGTGGGACGAAGGTCAGAGCATTGCTCTGGGGGACAACTGGAGATGATGGGGAGAAATGAAGATACCAAGGGAAATCCCAGGGAGAAACAGTGTATTGTAAGAAAGGGGCAAAGAAAAACAAGGGAAAGAAGAATATTACAGGGCAGGGAGATGTAGAGAGGAGACAGGATAAAAGTGTACAGGAAACTCAGCTTTGTTAGTTCCACTCCTCATAAAATCATTCCATTTTGTCTCAGTGTCAGTGAATAAACTGGAAACTCCTTTCTGTAGGAAAAAAATCTGCATGAGGAGGCTTTAAACTCCTCCAGTCCTATTGCTACTGCCCCCTGAATGCAGAGCCCAGTGAAGATCTCTCTCCACTCTGATTTTATGGCTAACTCTGCTTTGTTGGGTAGCTTTGTGGGTGAAGCTTGTGGGTGAAGCTTTTCCACTGTCACCTTCTGTTACAGACACTGGGAAACAGAGAAAAAAATAAACAGTAATAAATCAGATTACACATGGAAGGATGTAAACATATCCATGTGTTTTGTGGTAACCCGATTTCTCTGAGAATAACTGTTACCTGAGTTGCTATGGGGAAATTATCCCAAATACAATCCAAGCTTATGGATTCTATTTATAGTACAGCAGGGGCACCTAAAAGGCATGACCTGGTATGTTAGAGCTCTGTAAGAGAAACCCCCTACAAATGTACTATTATATCCATCTTATACATCTTACAGACCAACAACACTGAACACATTCTCTTTGCTAGTAAGAGCATTTACCCTTTTCTTCCCCCTCAACTTTAGTTGTTTGAACTCAGATTATAGGCTCAGATTATGCATCTCTGCAGAGGGGTGATTCCCAATTACTATTTGTTGGATTGCACACAGGTCCCTTCCAACCCAAACCATTCTGTGATTCCACAATTCTGTGATTAGTAATGGTCTGACTGTGCAGTTCTCACTTGGACAAAAACAGCTCTGAGATTTCAATGCATAGGAACAAAACCCAGGATAAATTCATGAACAAATCATTCAAAAATAGACTCTAAAGTCACAGCAAGAAGTTAGGCTCAGGACAGTAACGTTATTTGGCAGGATGTTTGAAGGTTTTGATATTTGATTTAGTTCCAGTTTGGAAGAATATGTAGCTTTTTTGTTGCTGAAATTCCCTCTGAAGCAGAATTTCCATTCCCTGCCCAGCTCTGGGGTGGTCTGACTGTCAGGGCTTTGGAAGCCTCTAAAACCTGAACTTCAGGCCCAAGAGTGTGGGAGCTGAGACTTTCCAGCTCCCTTAGCCCTGCAGGTTCTGCTGAGGAGAGATGTTAGCCCCAGACAAGCAAACAAACAAACAACAGCCTATCGGGAGTTCTGCTGGATTCCCAGGGTGCCTCTCTGTTTTCAAACACAAGCCATCTCTTTGAAATCCCCAACAAATTGGCAATTTCAACCAAAACAAGAAAGTTTCTTACAATGTTTCCCACAGCTGTATTCATAAGTCATGTGGCCCACCCCAACTGTAAATAAGGAATTAAGCATCAATTGAATAATAGATTAAAATACCATTTGTTCCATTCTCAGAACAACAACAATAAAATCACACTTCATTGGACAGTTTACATGATTGGCCTTTAAAAACAGAGAAAGTAGAGCAGCACTTTCCTGTGAATTTGTTTTTTTTTTAATTATTCCTAATATTCAAAAAAGCCAAAGGCTGCTTTTTCCATATCTGCTTGAGTTAAAACAGTGCAACAGAACTTCCCTGAAAATAAACAGGTATTCACAATATGGCTGAAATCTTAAAACACTAAATACTGAATCTCTAGGAGCATGAGGCTTCATAGCTGACACTCACTCGGGATATTTCAGGCAAAATCGTGCTTCTCTGAAAGATGAGTTTTATACCTGGCTCACTAGTGAACAGACATCACTCACACACTTAAAAAAATCCTTATTCTCTGTTTCAGATGTTGATCTAAAATTAGTTATTTTATCTCCAGAAACTTTGATTAAAAATCAAGTTAAGAAATCATGTTTTATATTCTCATTTTACTTTTGGTTAAAATTTAACCAATGTTACTGACTTTCATGGAGTTAATTTCCAGATGAAACTCTACATGCCCATTTACCTCCACAATCTTTTCACTTTTATTATTCTCCTTCCCTGAGGATGCACTCCTAACCATTACAGATTTCATTATCACCTATTTTTTCTTTCATTCTTTTTTTCTGTAAAAGCATTAAAATTTTACTTTGCTCTGAAAACAATGTCTTCCTTGTCAGTCTCATTTCATTGTGCTCTGCCTGCCTCCTACTTACTTCAAGCTATTCATGTGAACACTGGAAGGTCTTGGACAAAATATTAAAATTGAAAAGAGTGATTTTGCAAAAAACAGGCTGGGTCTTCCACCCTTAGATTCCTCAGTCTGCATTCCTGCAACACTAATTATAAATAATGTTATTCCCTGTGTAACTCCAAGACTTTACACAGTGTCAAAGGCATGCAATTCCCATATGGAGATAGGCTGTTTCTGGCACAGGAATCAAGTTCACTTGCTAAGAGCTCTGGGCAGGGGAAACTCTTCAGTTTGAAAGGAAGAAGATTTATGGGGCAGGTTGAGTTCCAGAATGAAATGGCAGCTCTTTCCAGCTGCTTTGAGTTTAACCACGCCACGAGAAAATGAATGAATGGGCAAAGAGCTGCTGCTCTGACAGCCAGGATGTTACTCATTAAAACTCCACACTCGCATTTACTGAGTCATGGAGACACAGGGACAGACACTGTCATTGTCCAGAGTGATAACACCGAGGGATACACTCATATCTGGGGCAAGAAACCGCAGCAGGAGATGGCAGAGTCTTGAACCCAGAGCCTTGTTTCAGCTTGAACACCGGGGTGTAACAGGGACCAGCTGGGTCTCGGAGCTCATGTGCACTTCAGGCAGTCTGGCTCACCTCGTGTAGGACAGGCCAGGGACCATGTCTGCAGTTTGAACTGGGACAGGACAGGGACCATGTCTGCAGTTTGAACTGGGACAGGCCAGTGACCATGTCTGCAGTTTGAACTGGGACAGGGCAGGGACCATGTCTGCAGTTTGAACTGGGACAGGACAGGGACCATGTCTGCAGTTTGAACTGGGACAGGACAGGACCATGTCTGCAGCTTGAACTGGGACAGGACAGTGACCGTGTCTGCAGTTTGAACTGGGACAGGACAGGGACCATGTCTGCAGTTTGAACTGGGGCAGGACAGGGACCATGTCTGCAGTTTGAACTGCACCACCCTCAGCAAGGGACACTCACACAGCTGGCAAGTCCCCCAGGAACAACAGGAGGCTTTGGGGGAAAGGATCCTAAAGAGATGCTGGAACCCAGACCTGTCACCCTGTTTCTGGGGCACACAGCAGATACCAGAAGGATGGTGCTTGAGAGGAAAGCCTTCCTTCCTTCACTGTGGAAGGAATTCTCCCCTGTGAGGGTGGGGAGGCCCTGGCACAGGTTGCCCAGAGAAGCTGTGGCTGCCCTAGCCCTGGAAGTGTCCAAGGCCAGGTTGGATGGGGCAGGTTGGAGCAACCTGGGCTGGTGGAAGGTGTCCCTGCCCAGGGCAGGGGATGGAATGAGATGATCTTTAAGGTCCCTTCCAACCCAAACCATTCTGGGATTCTATGATTTCTATGGATGTGTTTTAAATGGCTGGGGAAAGGTCAAGGTGGTGCAATTCTAACTCAGTAAGACAGCTGGCAAGCAGTGGGCTTGTTTGAGGGAAGGACTGAATCTGAGACAGCACTAAGTTACAAGCATTCTAAACATATGACTCAAAACTGGCAGGTACGTTCTTGTGAAGCGTGTCAGGGAAGGCACTCACATCTGACCTGTCCTGTTAGCACAGCCTTGGCACAGTAACCACACTAAATCCCTCACATTCCAGGAACTGTATGGAACCTGCTCCCTTCCCTATGTACTGTCCCCTCACACTCAGCTCTGAGCCTCACAAACCGAAGCTGAGACCCACGGGGTGAACAGCTGCCCCCTGGATTTGCACCACACTTTCCTGGAGCCCTCAGAGCCAGATGGTCAGCACTGAGCTGCACTGGAGGTCAAGGGATCCCAGCCGGGGTTTAAACAACCACAGAAACTCTGACACCTGCCCCCAGCAGCTCCCACTGCTGCAGGTGTCTAAACAGTCGCACTGGCACCTGCCCAGGCCTCGGCAAACACAAGGAACCAGGATTGTTCCCTGTTCAGGAGGAATAAATCGCCGAGGGAATTGTGCTCCCTCACGGCTCTCTCTGGCTCCAGTTACACCAGCAATTAGGAATACAATTTGGCCCTCACTTTTGTGTCTGAAATGCCATCACAAGGTGCACGTGGCATCCTGAAGTGATTTTTCTGTACCTCTCAGAGCTGTGCCAGCTTGCAATCGTAACTGGAGTAAAACAGTATTGCCATTGAAGAAAGCACCCCAAGGTGCCAATTTAACTCACTCATTTTTAGAGTGAAGCCCAGCTTCAGAAGGAGCTATGTTTTTTTCTTGTGCTATGTTTTTTTCTTGTGCAGCCATGAATAAATGCAACTGAACCACATTTATCACCTTCAGGTTTTGTCAATAATTATTCATATCTCTCACAGAATATGTGCCTTTTATTTTACTATTATGATTTTCTTAATTACACCTCAGTTATGCACAGAAGCTAGAAGAAGCATTTAGTAAGCTTTTTTTCAATTCCCATGAAGTCCTAGGGAGTCTCTAAAATGAAAATCTTTAGAAGAATAAATTAAATTTACAGCAGAATGGCAACTTACATTAATCAAATTATCATTAAATCATCAAGATTCTCTCTCCCAGATTGTTCAATAAACTTGGTTTCCTGTTTTTCCTGCCTCTGTTTTGTCTGTAGCTCTTATAACCCTTCAAGTATTTCCTAAATTGGCACTTCAGTCCTATCTGTCAATTCTTCTGCGTAAGAGACTGCTTTCAATGCCAGTGTAAATGCAGAAGTCAGAAAACATGGACAGACTTGCCTGGAAGACACATTCTTTCCATAATAAAGATCAATCCAACACTTCTACAATTACCAAGGTTAAATCACTTTTCAATCCACTTGAACAGAGGGGAGAAAAGAAAAGCATTTTAAATACAAAGTCCTCTGTGAAGCTGCCCCTCCAACCACCAATCACGAATTGTGAGCTCCACTAATTAAGTGTAACAAGTGCATGTAACAGCAAAAATAACACAAACTGTCATTGATATAAAAATTAGGAATGGCACAACCATATGAGAGATGCAGTAGAACCAAAATCTTACTGTGCAAGTGATTTTAACATTTAACTTCATTATTTCATCTGGTAGATTATCAAATAGAAATTAGTATCCTATCAACTGTCAACAGAATTAAGAAATATGCTTATTAACTAAAAGGTACTATTTTCTATAGTCCAACATATTTCATAGAATCACAGAATGGTTGGGGTTGGAAGGAACCTTAAAGCTCATCTCATTCCACTCCTGCCATGGGCAGTGACACCTTCCACCAGCCCAGGCTGCTCCAAGCCCCATCCAACCTGGCCTTGGACACTTCCAGGGCTGGGGCAGCCACAGCTTCTCTGGGCAACCTGTGCCAGGGCCTGCCCACCCTCACAGGGAAGAATTTCTTCCCAATATTCAACCCAAATTTCCCCTTTCAGTTTGAACCCCCTGTGAACCCATGAACCCATTGAAATGTGCCCCTTTTGAAAAGGAACACAGAAAGGACTGTCAGGAGAACGTGTTGTTACACAGAGTGCTGTCTGTTTTCAGATGGAACTGAAACATGGAATCATGAAGATGTAAACTGTACTTGAGTATATTACACATAACTCTGTACCTGCATTCTCTGGACTCGGATATCGGTGGCAGAGAAGCACACATTCTGTTTTTGTTTGCCCATTCAACGCCCTTGTCACAGCATTCTTCCACTGACAGCTCTGCAGAAAGAAAGAAAACCACAGCAGTCTATTTAACACAACCTTGCATCTCCAACTGAAAACCCCCAAGCAAACACAAGGAAGTGAGTTTGACACCCCCCCCAAGAACAGGGCACCCAAACCCAAGGCAGACATGGCCAAACAAGGCTCCTGGCAGCACCTTGCAATAAGCCCAGTGCTGGGGGTTTGCCTTCCTTGGGGAAGCAAACCTCAGTTTCCCTTAACCTTCCACACAAAAACACAGCCTGGGCACTGGTACTCCAGCAGAAAACAGCTCAGAACACTCCTGCACAACTACAGGATCTGCTGGATTGCAATCCATTACTATCAAATGTGGCAGTAGCAATAAGCAACCTTTTAAAATCCCTAAGAATACAGAATTAATCAAACAAGCGATATCAGAAACACCTGAATGTCATTACAAGTAAATTTGCAAAACTGGTTTCACCTGAGGTAATTATCCAAGTAATCTGCTTTACTCAAAAATATGCCTGTAAATGCCAAAGTATTGTAGAGAGGGACAAAAAGGTATATGGTATTTTGATCACTTAACATACGACGGAAAAATTGATCCAGATACCAGCTTACACCAAAGCTGAACCTAAGGGGAAAAGCACATTGAAGACAATTATTTCTGTAGAGTGTATTTTTGCAAGTCTTTAATTTAATAAAACTGAATACTGTAAATGAACTGACAAGCACTACTGGTTTGCTTCATATTCGAAGTGCAAAAGTTCAGTGCACAGCAGGTGTATCAGAACTTGGAATAAAACAGGAGTCACATTTTCCTATTAATTATCTTGTAGTCTGAACACCGAACAGCTCCTTGTGTAACAAATACACAATGTGTGTAAAGGACCCCTCTGATTATCCAGAGGGACAGCTTTCTAATGGTTTCTCTGTGTTTCATAAGTGTTTTGGCTGATGGCCCTGCCAGGCTGCTCCGGGAGTGCTGAGGGATGACACGGCCAGGCCACGCCCGGGTACCTCAGAGAGCTCAGGGAGAACCAGAGAAGTTCCTGAAGAATGGGAGACAACAAAGGTCTCCCTGACTTCAAGGACAAGAGAGGAGATCTGGGAAACTACAGGCTGGTCAACCTCTTATAGAATCATTAGGGTTGGAACAGCCCTCCCGGCCCATGGATCCCCCTGTGCCCCATGCCCACCTTGTCCCCAGCCCAGAGCACTCAGTGCCACGGCCAGGCCTTCCTGGGACACCTCCAGGGCTGGGCACTCCAAACCTCCCTGGGCAGCCCCTGCCAGTGCCTGACCACCCTTTCCAGGGAGAAATTCCTCCTGATGTCCAACCTGAGCCTCCCCTGGCACAGCTGGAGGCCGTTCCCTCTCCTCCTGTCCCTTGTTCCCTGGGAGCAGAGCCCGACCCCCCTGGTTTCCCCCTCCTGTCAGGGGGTTGAAGATCCTTGCCCAAATTACCCATTAGGCAGGTGGCAGGACAGGGAGTGCACAGCAGGTCACTCCCGTGCCTCCCGTGACTGTCTCATCCTTAGTTCTGGTCCAAGCACATCCAAAGGGAGCACATTTCAGCAGGCAGCCACATCATATTTGAGACTATCCATCCTCACAAACGACTTCCTGCAGAGTCTCCTAAGGACAAACACCTGTCTCCTCTGGCTCTCCCTACACCAGTTAGGAAGCCATCGTTCCCAGGTGCTCCTGATGTGTGGGGGTTCCAGCCCCCTCCCATCTGTCCACATACTCACCTCCTAAGTAGTTCCAGTTATCAAAATAAGCGGAAATAATTAAACTGTTCATGATCACACTAACTTTGACACACATCAGAGTTTGCTCAGCTGGCAGGTGTTCAGATGTGGGGAAGGAAAAAGCAGCTGAAAGCAAGAAGAGAAGGTAATTCCCTCCAGTAACTCAGGGTTTTTTTGCAGGGAACAACTTGTATTCTCAACTTAGTGATTATAATCCAAGGTTTCAAAGCAAAAAGGAAGAGGTTAAATGAGATTTTAAGATGCATCAGTCATCTTGAGGTAGGTACTTTTTTGTACAGTCAATTGTACAGGACAAAGCTCTGGAGTCCTGCACAGAATTCTGGCTTTAAGAAAGATTACATCAAAGTGGAAAATGAGTAAAGATCAGGAGGATGGTCAGGGGAATCAAAGCCCTGTTATATGAGGAGAAACTGGGAGAATCAGACCAACCTGTGAAAGGATGTGGTTCCTGTCAACAAATAGTACAGCAGTAAACAATCTGAATCACGGGATCCAGAAAAACAAAGGTTGTAGTAAGAAAATCATTAAATGGAATTACATTAAGTGTTAGTTTATAACAGAGTTCTGTACTCTATGACCCAGGTCACCCTTCCACTCTTACTTACATGCCCAAAGTAATGGTCAAAATTCTGTCATTACTAAGTCAAGGCAATATTTCTCCTGAATCCCAGAGTGTGTCCAGAATCCATGCCAGTGTCTGAGAGCTAAATGCAGTTTACAAGGCTACAGAGAAAATCAGTCTGGTAAACAACCATCTGCCCGTGGTGAAAGCCACGCACTTGTGTCTGAGCTCTTCTCTGGGAACAGGGACCCTGTCTGGGGCTCTCTGGCTGACAAACATCATATGCATCAAATTTCATACAATGGGTTGCAAATAACCATGTTTTTAGTGCTGCTGCCTGCAATCAATCTTAACTGTGTTGAAAAATGATACACATTTAACCGCAGTGCAGAGCTGGCTGCAGGTTTTTGCAGGGCTTTGTAAAAAATGGTCTTGGGCCAAGTTCCTCTCCAGAAGGACAATCCCTGGCTCTGGACACCAGTTCTTCTCTCCAAGCTCTGGCAACACACCTCTACTCCAGCGAAATAACTCAAGAATTCAAAGCAGGCCAAGCTAAGCAAGCTTGTCTGTAGGAGTGCATCCAGACAAAGGAGATCACGGAGAGTTTGCTGAAGGAGAACTGTGGTCCAGGCTCATTGTTTTGGTGACATCACAATTCATATCCTCCAAAGGTCCTGCCAAAAATCTCCTGAGAATAGAGGGAAGTGAAAAACAAGCAGTAAAAAAGGACTCCACCCTCAAGTCCATTCTTCTAAAACATAACAATTAAACAGTGAAAAACATTTTCTCTTGGCTTTGCAGTTGCTCTAAAAATTGCAATTCGTGGGCAAATCCTTACCCTTTCAAATCTCAGAAAGTGTGTGAACCAGAAGTGATTCTGACCATCTGGGCACTCAGGGTTGTTAATGAGTATTTAGGAACAGGACCCTTATCCTCTCCTGGCTGCATTCTTCCAGCCTTGTGGACTCCACTGCACACATGTGCATATTCATGTCGCTCCCAGCTGGAAACCTTTGGGCAAGCAGTTCATACTGGGGCACCTGTGCCTCCTTACACCCTCTTCAGGGGACCAACACCACAGGGGACTACAGACTGCTCCTTCAGGGTGTGCACAGGATGGGGCAGTGGCAGGCAGATGGTAGAAGTGCTCTGATTATGACATCTCACTTTCTGAACAGAAAATAATGGCTGTTTTTCCTCTGGCTGTGACCCTGTGTCTCAGTGCAGCTGATGGCTCGTGGCACCCCTCACAGCTGGAGCAGGAATGACAACTCTGCTCTTCTGAACCTGGTGCTCCTTCAAGGATTCTGCCAACTGCACAATAAGTTTCATGCAGATCAGCCAGAGACCTCCCAGGCATCAGAGAGAGAAAGCCCTTCTGGGAAAGGCTGGGGACACTGTCTGTGCTCAGCTGCAATGTGCCCAAATAAAATGTGCCTCCAAATAAAATTTGGAGGAAGAAACCTGACAGGGAAGTTGTGAATTCCTGTTGTGCAGGAATACACTGGCTGGTCCATTTTGTAAATTTGAGAAGCACTTGTTCAGCTTTCTGGTTCCACAAGACAGAAAAGCATGATAACCCAGAGCTCTGGTTAGATGACAGCATGTTGACTTCCTTTTCTAGATACACTAATTTTGCATGCTAAAAGACTAGTTGAGAAAACCCAAGTTTATTTTGGATAAAATCCAACACTTTGGATTTATCACCACTTTGTCCCTTTACCAAATCATGTGCAGCAGGGCATCCAAAAGATGTGTTGTGTGGTGACAGTGAGGATGCCTGTCCTGCTGGGAATGTGGTGGTGTGTGTTGGATTCCCAGGGAGATTTCAGGAGTCTCGGGAAGAGGACAGCAGAAACACAGCTGGAACTCAGCTCTCTAATTTCACAAAAGCTGTCGTGAAGAAAAGCTATCAGATAAGACATGATTAAGGCCACAGCTATTCAAACATTTTGTGTGCATGATGCATTCATGGGCTGGCTCTGAACTATGCACACGGGCACGATGTGTAAGAGCATATGGTTGTTTTAAAAAAAGGTAGTTTGCTAATCTTAACAGGACTGCCATACTGTGTGGGAGTTCAAAGCAAGAAATGTGGTTAATATCTGCATAACCTTAGACTTCTATGATGTAATAATTGCTTATTCAGCTGCTGCAATGAATATTTTCTGCAAAAGGAAGATAAGCTTAAGAATGTTACCCAAAGCATGATTCCTGGAATGAGAAACCCTGAATTGCTTCTGGGAATTGTGTAAAAAATAAGCAGAAGTAAAAAGGGATAAATTTCGTGGCAGTAGCATTCCAGTTAGATGAAAAAGGGACAGATTTTTTAAGTAACAATCTACAGTAGCAGCTATTCTTTACAGTTGCCCCTGATGGAAAGGTCTGTGCACAGTCCAGGACTGGATAGCTGTTCATTACTCAGTGCTGATCCATGGAACAGTTACCAGTCTGATGCTGGTACCAAACCAGAGCTACACCTGGGCCTAGATGGGCTCACCAAGGTAGTGCCAAGAAAGTTGGCCAGTTCTTCAGGGCAGTCACTGATGTGACCCTCACACCCATCAGCTTCCCAGCCCACATGACCAGCTGTGGTTGGGTATGGGTTTGGAACTGAGTCCAGGTCAAGGGGTCAAAGTCACTCCTCCTTACTGAGGTGTTTTCAATCTTCTAAGCACATGGATCGATTCAGTTTGTAAGATGTGGTTCAGAGCTTGTCCTTTGCTCAGTTCCCTCTGTCAGAGGCTCAGCACTGTGGAATGTGAGGAAACAGAGCGTGATTCTCACTCCTCAGCAGCCGAGGATCCAGGCAGCAGATGGACTCTGGGAGAGCTCAGCACCAGTCCAACATGTTTCACCAACAGCATGTCAGCCAGAACTTTGGGAGCTCGTGATTACAACACACATGCACTGGTTTAGGTTTCCAGTAAGAAAACCACTTGCAGCATTCCCTGTGTACCTTTTTGATAAAACCTTTCCTGTCCTGTCATGAAAACTCTCTCACTAGTGGTGCTCATCCATCTGACTGCCAGCTGAAAAAAGCCCAAGCCTAATTATGGGATTTGTCAAAATGACAAACTGGCCATTCATAATATTCACAGTCACATCCTTTGTCTTCCAGCCTCCCTTTACATCTGTACTCTCATAAAACCACAGCAACTGCACATCCCTTTGGCCAAGGCTCCACTTTGCTCGAGGTTCAGGGCAGTGTGGTCTTGGCCTGATCTGCAGCACCAAATCAATCATTTATTGAACAATGACACCTGGCTAATATTAGATGGACAAGTCAGCAGCTTTTGTAGCAGGGATAGCAGTCAAGTGCTGGCAGCTGGGATTTGTAGTCTTGATTTTCTGGCTGTTCTTACAACAAGCTGTGGAAATGCTGTCTGGCAATGCAAGCACATGCTGGCTGGCCACTTAAGGCATCACATAGACCCAGAGACACGTTTAGACAAGAGGAAAGCCAGATGACTTCAAAGATCCAACTGCTAATAGACTGACATGATAAATCCAGCTTTGCTACATCTTGATCTTGTGTGTAAACCTGGGGATTAGGCACATAGAGTAGGGAAAAGGGTGAAGGAGACCTGAAACAATGAAAGACAAAGACGTACAACAGAAAATCTGGCCTCATGATTCCCTGAAATAAATAGTCTGAATTGGAAGTAAAGGAGTAATGCAGGAAGGCATTGCCATCGTTCATCTGAGATGATTAGAGTATGTGCTGGATCTCTTGGGACTAGAGTTGGAATGAAGATGCCCCTCTTCCCTTTTGTATGCAGGGAAAGAAGTGGAGTCCCTCCTTTTCTGCAGAGACTTGTTGGTTCACCTCAAGGCTGTTCACCAGATGTGCCAATGCAGTGATGGGGTATGAGGAGCAGACACAGCTGAGCTGTGGCACCAGTGTCCTTTGGACAATAAGGTGTTCTTAGTCCTTCCACTCCATTGTTCTCTACGGGTTCTCTTTAAAACTCTAACAGCTTGAACTTGATAACAAATGCATAAAACCTGGAGCCAGGATGGCTCTCCCCTGACACCCAGAGCAGCACAGGCTGCTGTCTCCAGGGGATGTGTTGTAGGCTGCCAGGCTGTGTTCCTCACCAGCTGTCCCTCTCCTCTGCTGCTCTAGTCCACTGCTTGCCCTCAGAGAGGGCCTATGACAAAGGGCTTCTCTCTTCCAAGTGGGGAGGTAATTTTGGAGCTCTGTGGACTGACAGACAATCTCTCAATTTGTGTGCTGCTAAGAAACAGGATGTTATCTCCAAACAGCCTTAAAGGATTTGAACCTTTCCTTTCAGAATCAGTCTCAGGGGGATTGTTTCAGGACAGCTGAAATCACTGAAGAAACCCAGTTAGCACAGCAAGTAAAGCAGCAGCACCCTAAAGGAAATGCCTACTATGTTAGTTTGTTTTGTGGTGGGTTTGAAAACAGCCAACATCTTACTGGAAATTTTCTTAGGTCTGGAGAA